AAAATATTAATTGAACTGCCATCACTGATACTCATTATGTGCATGAGAAATTAGATAATGGAACATTTATTAACCAACAAATGGAGAAAACATCACAACCTCAAAAAGCCAAACTGACAGCTGGACAAAAGGTGGTGATGCTCTGTCGCCACACGGTGGTCAAAAGCATCAAATACACTTTATATCATTTCCCTTCCTGTACTGTGGTTTTTGGATGATTTTGTTGCAAATTAAAAATGCACTACAAATATGAATTTCGATTTTTATAATCAGTAAAAGAGAAATAAATAATTATTCGTTCAATCTGCCGTGCAAGGCAGTCTATAGTAAATGTTCCCTGATGTCGAGTCAAACAATGTCTTTCCTGTGCTTATTCAAATGTAATATTTTACTATCTAAAGTTGAAGCATTAGAGATTATGGAACTTCTATTTCACTTTCCCAAAATCTTTAGATAAAGTCTAGAAGTCAGTGTATGATTATTCTGAAGCATGACTTAGTTCCTGGATATCTCATGCAGTAGAGGAAAAAGTTTTCCAAAATGGAGATACTCAATTAAAGTATCAGTATACCAAAAAATGGAAGTAGGCTATATGACAAGAATTTTTTGATGCTGTTTGTCAGTAGGTTTACAGACAAGACTTGAAGGAACTATATGTACAGTTGAGTTGTTTTTCAAAGCTCTGTACACCTGTTTTCAATTCTGGCTGATGAGACGTCTGCTCTGGGGGGAGGGGGGGTTGGAGATTCACTGGGATTTCAGCTCTAACTCCATTTAAAAGTAGACACAGCAGACATTTTGACTTGTCGTCGTAGGAAAAGCACAGGTGTTACCAATAATGATAACAATGTCTCTGTTCTAAAAGTGTCCCAAAGCAACTTCAGCCATCATTCATTTTATTAGTAGTATTAGTAGTACTACTTTGACACACAATTGAATAAATAAACGTACCCATGTGTATTCAAAATGGGTGACTTAAAAAACATCTGAATTATGTGGACTCATCTGAATATGGGATTGTTGAACATGTGACTCCAAAACCTGTTATGCAATCCTCCACTCTTCTGGTTTCCACCAGAGTTTGGAACGTGGCTGCAGGGATTGGACTGGTTGCACAGAAGACATTATGATACAGGTGGACTTAATAACAGTAACGATGGCTCAGTTCCATTTAGTGTCCCAGTAAAAATATCAGTGAACAGAACAGCAGGATTCCCCTTATAGTTTTATGCAGCTATCATTAATACACCTGTGAGTTTCCTGCTATGCAATGCCAAAGTATCTGCTGTGCAATAAGTCCATTATACTTATGTACAGTACTTAAATAGTAGGTAAATGGTACTTCCCACCACTTGGTCTAATGGACTTAGTACCTAAATGGAAATACAAATACAAAAGAAAGACATTTGTAAATGTGTCATTCTAAATTTTACACTTTTACACATTTATTTTTGGCAAACTTAAGAAATATACATAATTTGGTCAAATTTGGTTTTGAAATATTTTCTTATTTATTAACAACAATGCTAATTAGGGGGGTTCTTATTGCTGCACTTTGATTCCATCACTGTAAGAAGCAGGTGGAGGTGTATGATTGCATGCAGTGACAGAAATGAAAGCCACATGTGCGTCCTCTGTACTCACACAAATATATGTTTGTTGGAATTTACATTGTTGAGAGGCACAGACTTCTCGGAGGACATTCCACTGCTGAGAGCAAAAATCATATTTTTTTTATTATGGAAAAAAATCACTTTTCTTTACAAAACACAACACATTTTCAGCTACACATTTTTCTATAATTTAACCAAACATCACAATCATCAAAAACATCTAACATCTTAAGAAGCTCTCTCTGTGTCACAAACCCATTGTGTGACAGGAATCACAACCCGATGTCCCTGAGCAGAGAGAAAAAAAATATATAAAAAAACATCTTAATGTAATTGTCATGTTGCCTTCTGTAGCCTATCTATGTGGAGAAACCGGAGAGCGAGGGCTACTGTGACAGTGACGGCACAGTGTTGGCTTTTTCACAT